CTGGGTGCAGCGGGGTGGGGGGAACACCCTAGGTGCGTGTCTTAGTGGCCCCTCTCTGTCCCAGACAGAAAAAAGGACCTGAGTAAGATGAAGAGCCTTCTGGATATCCTGACGGACCCTTCTAAACGGTGAGCTTTGCCCCCCAGGCTCCTGGGGGAAGGACGGTGCTGGGCCCGTGGCTGGCTGCTTGGTTGGCCCAGCCTCGGACAGGCATTTGGTGGTGACATGGAGTTTAGAAAAGGGGCCCTGGGGCTCCACTTAGATGTGTCTGCTGGGGCTCCAAGCCCCTGGCCCCCTACCTTTGCCCTGCCCCTGACTTACCAGTGGCCTTGGGCAAGTGACTCCATCTCAGTTACTCTCTCTGCACAAAGGGGCTCACCTGAGTTGGCTGGGAAAATGAAACAAGAGGATGTTGAGAAGCACTTGTAAGGCAGTGGAGCACCAGCTTCTCAACATGGCACACACCCCACTGCGCCTGCCTGCCGGTCGCAGGGCTGCTGTGAGCACCAGAGTTTGGTCAGCGCTACAGAACTGCATGTGGACTGGCCTTTGGGTTACATCCGTATCCCTGCCTCAGCTTAGGCTCTGCTCCCATCTAGAGGATCTTGCTTTCATTTACTGGGCAAAATGCTGGAAACTGCAGAACTAGGCCTCTCGGATCTGGATTGCCCTCCAGACCCTCTTGGATTGATCCTTCATTGGGATTATAGTGCTGGGGGGCAGGGGCCTGACCTCTGTCCCTCTCCGCTGATCCATCGCATTTATGCCCTAATCTGCCAGCCAGGACTGGGCAGGCCTGGGGACTGAACCATCTTGCCTTATGCTACAGATCTAGGAATAGCTAGTCAGTGGCTAGGGCTCCTGTGGAGGGTTCTGGTGGCCAAGGCTGGCTCCGTCCCCACCAGGTGAAACCGGGCAGGCAGTGCTTGGGACCAGCACTCGAGAGCCACCAGTGCCCCATCCTCGAACAAGAGGGTCAGCCACATCCCCTGTCCCCCCAGGTGCCCCCTGAAAACACTGCAGAAGTGTGAGATTGCCCTGGAGAAGCTCAAGAATGACATGGCCGTGGTGAGTGAGGTGCCATGACCTGGTGGTGGTCACAGAGCCACAGGCATCTCTGGGGGGAACAGGGCTCACCCCACAGCAACTCAGAACCACACACTGGGAGAAGCCTTCACAGCCAGGGGGCACACCACCCAGCCTGAGAACCTTGCCCAGGAGGCTTCTTCTAGGTCAGGTCTGCTGTGGGGGAGGAGAGTACGTGTGGGAACATGGGAGAAGTCACCCTCCCGCTGTAATCTGTGGGTGTTTCCTCCATCCCCCAGGTTCACATCTCTACCATCACATTTCTATCCACCCCTGCCCAGCAGAAGGCCGAGCCTTGGGGGGAGGGGACCTCTGGGGAAGGTCAAGGCCGTAGAAGGCAGGAGAATGCATCCAGGGTCAGCTGTATTTGTCTCCAGGGGGCAGAGGTTATGGGGAAGCCATGAAGTCTGGCTGTGAGGATGAGGACCTCGGGGTCTGGAAAGCCTCCTCGAGAGTGGGCTGCTGACCCCGCTGTCCTGTTGCAGCCCACGCCACCGCCGCCTCCGGTGCCACCGACCAAACAACAGTACCTGTGCCAGCCACTCCTTGATGCCGTCCTGGCCAATATCCGCTCACCCGTCTTTAACCATTCCCTGTACCGCACGTTCGTGCCGGCCATGACCGCCATCCACGGCCCACCCATCACGTACGTACAGCCCGGGGCTCGGCCTCGTTCTGGGTGGTGGGCGGCAGGCCATGGGCCACAGGCCACAGCCTAGCAGCGTGTGACCACAGCTGCCTCCTCCAGAGCCCCAGTGGTGTGCACCCGGAAGCGTAGGTTTGAAGACGATGAGCGGCAGAGCATCCCCAACGTGCTCCAGGGGGAGGTGGCCAGATTAGACCCGAAGTTCTTGGTGAATTTGGACCCTTCTCACTGCAGTAACAACGGCACTGTCCACCTGATATGCAAGTTGGGTGCGTACCAGGGGGGCGGGGCCGGTGCTGCGGGAGAGTGAATCCGGAACTCCAGCCCCCAGGCTCTGCCGCTGCCCCCAGCCCCAGAGCAGACCCAGCCCAGGCCCACGTGCTCCATCGGGATGTGCACTGGGCCTGCCCAGATAGGCACACTCCCACCCTACCCGGGGGCCCACCATCCCCGCATCCTCCTGGATCCTCACACATACCTGGCCTGGGACGTGCCCTGAGCGCTGAGCCCTGAGCCCATGCACTCCCCTCTCACTGGCCTGCCAGGGAAGCCCCCTCACTCCCACGCGGATAAGGCTCACTTGCCTGAGGCCCTAGGGAGATGTGGAAGCCTGGGAGTCAGAGTGGTCTCCAGACTTCACAGCAAGCCTCAGCAGGACCTCCTGGGATGTAAGAGTCCTGATTGGAGTAGGGCTGTGAGGCAGGGCGGCTTGGGGTCTGGGGCCTGGGGCCAGGTCACAGACGCAGTCACGTGTGTTGCAGATGACAAGGACCTCCCAAGTGTGCCACCGCTGGAGCTCAGTGTGCCTGCCGACTACCCTGCCCAGAGCCCGCTGTGGATCGACCGGCAGTGGCAGTACGGTGGGTGAGCCCAGAAAAGAGCCGTGGCGAGGCTTTATGGCTGCTGTCTAAGGGCTCTGGCAGGTGGGGGTCACTCTGGGGGTCTCTGTGCCCCCGCAGCTGAGGGCCCTCCTGCCTTTTCCTGGCTGCCCACTTAGAGAGAGGGGGTCCCTGTACCTATCATGTTCTTCTGTCCATCTTGCATCTGCAGGGCAGCCATGCTTAGTGGATAAGGGGTAAGCAGGCCCGGCCCCCCCACCCCACCCCCTGTGGGCCTCTGCAAGGCTGATGCGGGAGCACAGAAGGAGCTAGGTCTCATGGGGACTCATCTGGGTGACACAGCTTCAGACCCAAGGCCCAGAGAGAGCCCTGTTGATGGGGGCCAGTGCCTCTGCAGTGCAGAGCTGGTGCATAGGGCTGAGATCCCAAGGCTCTGAGAGAAAAGTCCTGGGCTCCAGACCTGTGCACACTCTAGTTCTTTACTGACTCATGAGCCTGGGAGGGGAGCCTGTCGGCCACCCTGCTGTGTGTGGGAGATGGCCTCCCTGGTCACATTGGCGAGGCAGATTGCCCCAGACGCCAGCCTTGTGTCTGTGGGGCAGTCCGTTCCTAGAGAGCGGCCGTGCGGCCTGGGGCCGGGTCTGCAGCGCTCACGGCCCGCTGCTCTGTTGCAGATGCCAACCCCTTCCTGCAGTCCGTGCACCGGTGCATGACCTCGAGGCTGCTGCAGCTCCCCGACAAGCACTCGGTCACAGCCCTGCTCAACACCTGGGCGCAGAGCATCCACCAGGCCTGCCTCTCAGCCGCCTAGCCACTCACCTGCTGGGGGACCACGGGGATAGCCGGCAGCTGTGTCAGGGCTGCAGAGGACATGCACCTCGTGTTGGACATTTCTAGGTGTTGGCTCCCTTAGAGAGCCTGGGCTTAGATTAGCTTTCCTGCTTTTATCTTCTGCCTTGGGGACCCGCCAATCATTCTCCCACACTTGTACATGCCTGGGGCAGGTGGCTGTGGAGCTGGCGACATCAGCGGTGGGGTTGGTACTTCCACTGCGGAGTCGAACATGCCACCAGCCCTGTGCACTCCTCCTCGGGCTGCTGTCCCCTCGGCCTCTCCAAGGTCCATGTCCTTCCTCAGCACGGGGGAGAACTCAGGGTCTTGTTAGAGCCTCTTGTGTGTGTGCCAGAAAATACTTCTTGTTTCTGTGGGGGAATGTGGAGGGCATAGGATACCCTGTAAACACACACAGAATTCTCTGGTCACGGTTTTGGGTTCAGACCCCGCCACCATTGGCCTGTGGGACATGCCACAGGGAAGCTCCTGGATCCAAGGGCACTGGCTGCATCTCAGAGGGAAGGTCCGCCTGCAGGCCGTTGTGAATCCCCTGCCATCGCCTGGGCCTCATACCTCATGGCATTCTCCCTTTAAGCCATGGGGGTCTGCTCAGCACTGTGGGTGTGCCTGGGTTGCAGGGGCACCTGGGTGGATCCTGTACCTGGCACTGTGCCCACTCAGTGGGCACTTGGGCCTGCTCTTGGGTCAGGGTGGTGTCCTGGGGACCTGGCGTCCTCAGAGCCACTCCAGAGAGCGAAGGCTCCCTGAGAGGGCATCAGCCCTCTGGCGAGGAGAGGTTTCCCCTTTTCTATGTGCACTACCGTGTCATCTGTGGTTCTTATAATAAATTTATTATTCCTGTGTTTGTCATGAATCAGTCACTATGTCCCCTCCCCTCTGAAGGAGTGGGGACCACTGTCCAGTGAGGAATGCTGTTGGGGCTGAGCCGGGTTCCCCTCCTGGGAGGTGGCCATGGACGGCCAGATCTTAGTTCATCCCTTTCTGAGAGTGTCAGTGCCTCACCCTGGCTCATCCCCGGGTTTCTGGCCAAGTTCTGCCTGAAGCAAGAGGCAGAGATTAGCCTGAGGAAACGGCCAGTGGCACCAGGAGCACTGGCCTGCCAGGGGAGGGTGGAGGCCAAACTGACCGCATCCACACGCCCCAGGAAGCTGCGGTTGTGGCGAGTGAGGGGTGGTGAGGACCTCACGGGATGGGGTGGGAAAGTCACAGGGTGGGGCCTAGTGTCCTGGAGAGGCGCACTGTCCCGTGGCTGTGGCCCTCCACGGCGGAAGGCAGGCTCGGCAGGATGGCTCATCAGCTGTGTCAGTGTGGGGGCCGGATGGTGCCGATGGGGGTGGGTGCCTAGCCCTGTGCCCAGGGCCAGGAAGTGCCCCCTGCCCCGAGGAAGGGAGGAGGGAGAGCACGCTGCACCTGCCCTTGTCTACGTGTCTGGTTGCAGGGCAGCCACCAGGCCCTGGACGAGCCCTGGTGAACCCCCCCGGGGCACCCCCACCCCCCACCGCCGCGGGGAGCAGAGCAAGGGGTGCAGGGCTGTGATGCCGACAGCAGTGAGGGATGAGACGCACAAGTGGACCTATATATCAGTCTTCAACAGGTAGGGTAATAGGAATCTCATAACATGTTTTCATATAAACACAGAATAGCAAAATACTGAGCACGGAACTAAACAGTTTCTCAGTTCCGAGACCAAGTCCTTTAGCTGCCATGAGTTTTATCTGGAATTTCGCTTGGCCTAAACACATTAGAAGTCTTTGGTAGTGCTATGCAGAGAGGGTTAGCGTCTCCAGCTGGGGTCACGGGCTTGGCCATGACCTGCCGCACAGACGCACACCGTGCCGCTGGCCTCAGAGCACCGAGTGGTGCAGCCGCCGGCTCCGCACCACCTGCAGCCTTTTCTGCCGCTCAGCGAAGCTGCTCTTCAGGTTCTGCTTCAGTGTGGGCAGCACGGAGCGCTCTGCCACGGGCATCGGGCTTAGAATCAGGCTGTTAGGGCAGAGGGATGTCACTGCAGGTGCCCTCGGGGCAGGAGCTGAGCCGTGGCTGGCAGTGCAGCCCCAGGTGAGGCCCTGGGCTGGCCCAGCCCCTGCCATACTGGGCTCAGAGGCCACCCCACCCTCCCCCTGCCGGGACTCACCATTTCATGGGGACGCCCTTGGTGGGGACCTTGGGGAGTTGCATGGCTCCCAGATGAGGGGCCTCCTGGTCCCTGGGGAAGGAGTCAGCAGTGAGCCCCAGAGAAGCAAATCGGGATGGGATGGGATGGGGTTGGGGCCGCGCCGGGTCACTCACTTCGGAGAGCTGGGCCCAGCCTCCTCTGGGGCAGCCTTGGGCCTCTGCTTCCCTTCCAGGAGGGTCTTGAGGTGCTGCAACTGGAAGGCAGGGAGAAGAGGGGCAGTGGGCAGGACCCGCAGAGGCACTGGGGCCCCGCGGCCCGAGCCTCACCTCTTGGGCCTGTAGGAGGTTGGCGTTCCACAGCTGGCGGATAACCACCTCATACTGCTGAAGCGTGGTGGGCTTGCGCAGGTATGGCGGCAGGCCCATCATGGGGGGCTGCTTGCCCCTGTGCTGGCCACCTACTGCGGAGGTGGCCACTGCACTGAAGGTCTCCACTTCATCTCTGGAACAGTCACTGCAGCAGCTCAGAGCCAGCCTCCAGGATTGGTCTCACCACCTACCACCTCTCTTCCGGGCAGCACCCACACCAGTGTGAGGCTGGTGTCCACACCGCCTTCTCGGGGCCTGGTTCCCTTCTGCTGACCGAGGTGCCCCTGGCACCACTGGGGGGCTCCAGTGCCAGCTGAGACCTGGGCCCATCCCCTCCTCCCTTCTCAAGCTGCGCCGCTGCCCTCAATCCTGACCCCACATCTGCGGGACTGGTTGAGCGAGAATCTAAGGACGGGGTGCATCTAAGGAAGCCTGCCCTGCAGGTTGTACTACCCATGGGGCAACGGGGTCTCCATTTTGGATGCAAAGTCCAGGCTCCTTGCTGCGCTCCAGGGAAGTCCCAGAAACTCAGATGTCAGCCCTGGTCTTGCTCCAGCCTGCTGGCTCCCTGTGCCTTGCAGAGGCCAAGCACACTTGCCAGGGTGAGCCCAAGAACCCGACCTACTGTTCTCTTGGTGAAAAGCCAAGTGAGTTTGTCTCGTTTTTGTAAGAAAATGGTTTCAGGGCTGCTGCTGGCACCATCGTGTGGGCTCAGGGCAGCACAGGGACCCTGCAGACTCCCAAGGGAGAGGGGGAAGGCAGTGCCCACCAGATGGGCAAGCCTGGAGCGAGTATGCCTTCACTCAGGATACTGGCCCATTTGGAAGGGCAGAGCGGCTGGCTGGTTGCGGAATGTGCACTTCCTCCCATGGGGTCCAGGCGAGCCCTTACTTGGCCGGCCCCTGCATCCCTGGGCCTTTGTCCAGCTTGCCGTTGTGCAGCAGGGCAGCAGCTGGGCTCTCCTCTTCCAGGTCCATCTTCTGGGGAACATTAGCTTTTGAGTCCCGCTTCTTGGAGGAGGCGAGCTGGGGCCGGGCCTTGCCTTGAGAGTTGGCTGCAGCCAGGGCAGTCACTGTGGGCATCAAGCACCAGAACCTGAGTCCTCAGGATCATCTGTGTGTGCCCCAGGAGTACCCGCCCCCTCCCTCAGTTTTCCCTTGTAAAGGAGAGAAAACCGAGCCCCCAGTGGGGGGTTGCTGGGAGACCCAAAGGGGAGGCCTGAGGGCCTGTGGGTGGTGCCTGCTGGCTGTTATAGAAGCAGGCCCCCCGCACCTAGACCAGGTCAGGCTCCCAGGCCTCGGGAAGGCCAGGGCCGGGGGTGGCCCCACAGATGTTACCGGACTCTGAAGCAGCACCCCATTTTGGGCAAAATGACACTGAATGAGAGGTCTAGGACCTGACCTGCACAGGTTTCTTGCCCTGCAGAAAGAGCTGGGGCTGCTCCTGTCAGGACGCCTGACCTCAGAAGGCAGAGTGGGGAGAGGGGTGATGGGCTCCCTCGGGAGCCTGCTTGGGGGGGACACGAACAGGGCTTCCGTTAGGCCACCTGTGTGCCGCCACTCTCCGGACGACCACTGAGGGAGGCTCAGGGGCCCCTCTGTGTTTTGGGGTGTATCTGCCATAGGACCTTGTGCCCCATGTCGACACTCACTCCCTTGGTAGCCAAGCCTGCCGAGTTTTTGTAGCCTCTCTCTGGCCAGACCGCAGTCCTGTCACACCCCGCCTCAGCCCACTCTGGCTCCTGGGTCAGCCTCCTTGGCTCCCTTCAGCCATCCCTTAACCCCTGAGTCCACAGGGCCTGGCAGAGGTGCTCCCAGGCTGTTTGTCCAGCAGAAGACTGCTAGGGGTTTTCAGTGCCCAGGGCCCCCATGGGGCATGCGCCCCTCCCGTGACACTGAGCTCATGGAAGGTGCCGGCATGCTCACCTGACAACGTCGAATTTGAGACGGACTTGATGGACCGAAAGCTGGAGTTGGAAAAGCTGCTTGTGGGAGATTCTCGCACAGGGTCAGCTGGGGACGGCAGGAGTGCCACTTCCATCCTGGTGCCCCCAGACCACTTTGCGGCCCTTCCCCTCCCCTGGCTCTGCTGGCCTGTGTGTTCACGCAGAACCCACCCCCCGCTCTGGTGAGGCAGAGCTAGGGTGGGGGAGAGGTGATTTTTTTTGAAGGGCCATCCAGAAAGCAGTGGGCTTGGGCCCAAAGAAGCAGGCCCTGAAGGAGGATGACCTCTTCTGACATCCCACTGGGCACCACTGGCACCGCAGGACTGGGACCACTAACGGGCCCTGCCACTTGCTGAGGACAGCTCCCTGGAACTGCTCTAGCCCTGTCAGAGGAGGGCTACCACCCCATTCTCTGTGTCTCCTAGGAAGAGAGCCCAAGACTGGGGCATTCCAGGCTAGCACCACTCAGACTTGGCCCCAAAGGGAAGTGGGGAGAGCAGGCCCAAGACAGCCTGAGTCTCCCCCGGCTGGGCTGAGGACAGGCCAAGTGGGATACTGTCCGGATGAGGAAGGGCCTTGGTAAGTGGCTATAGGTTTCTGCGTCGCCACTTCCTTCCCCAGCCTTTCTGGTCACCTCGGAAGGACTGTGCCCAGAGCCATCCGTGCCAGGAAGTGATGGACCAGAGGCACGGGGCTGGGGCTGCCCAGTGCTTGCCAGCGTTTCAGTGACAGCCTGGGGCCTGCCACAGCAGCAATCCAAGTAAAATAATCCAGAGCAGCAAGGCTCGGAGGTGGAAGGATCTGGGTAGCCCCACCCCTAGCTCTCTGCCTGCTTCCCTACTGTGCAGACCTCAGGCCCTGGGACCTCTGAGAGCCCCACCTGCTGTGCTTGGGTGAACACCCAAACCATGGCTGGGGGCAGTGGCATCCGTCCAGATCCCCCGGGGCCCCTTCCCACTGGGATAGCACACAGGCAGTACATCTACCTGGGTGGACACAAGCACTCTGGAGGGGCTGCTCCCGACATCAGGAACTTCCCATCAGGCACTCGAGGGCCTCATTCTTACCTTTCTTTGGCTTCTGATTCATTATTAGCTTGTAATGAAGATCTGAAAGCAAACACATGCTCTGGTCATTTTTGAAGCTGCTGCCACCTTGAGAGAAGAGGTCTACTCTGCCCTGTGCACACCCTTCCTGCTGAACCCCTGAGAGACTTCACACCTGACCTTGGCAGTCAAGACCCTGCCCATGGGCCAAGACTTTGCCCTGGGTACCCTAAGGTGACAGCCACCCTGAGCCAGAGCCCTTGGGTATGAGCCTTGCCGGAAGTCCATCCGTCTGCCCATGACATCTGTCAGGCACCCTCTGCTAGGTGGGGCCCCAGCTCCAGGATAACCCAACCCTCCAGGAGCCCCTAGCCATGGATGAGCAGATGTGGTCAGAGCAATGATCAAGTGACACCCAGGCCATGGGCTGGCCACACCCAGCCTAGGCTTCAGGGAGGGACAGGTGGGATTCGAGATTCCTTATGTCAAGAGGGGGAGGCCTGACATAACGGATACCCCTTGATCTCATACTTAGCACTCCATGTAATGGCAGCAGGAGAAAGGTGGGGAGAAACTGAGGCAGGACTAGGTGTATCGGGGGAGGAGTTCCAGCTAAAATATAAGGGAGAAGAGACAGGGAAGCAGAGTAAAAGGCCTCAAATTCCACTTCAGGCCTAGCCCAGGTGGTGAGGAGCCACCAGGCGCACAAAGTTAGGAAGGCTGGGCCTGAGGAGACACATGGGCCCGGCAGATGTTGGGGAGGGGCTGGATGGGGCTGAGATGTCTGCCTTTGATTCCGGTGCCTTTAGCTTGAGAAAATCATTGAGCCATATACTCAATGTCCATAAAGAGCTTTTTTAGGGGCCCCTGGGTGACTCAGTTAAGCATCTGCCTTTAGCTCAGATCATGATCCCAGGGTCCTGTCCTGAGATGGAGCCCCCACATCAGGCTCTCTGCGCGGTGGGGAGTCTGCTGCTCCCCCTCCCCCTGCCTGCCGCTCCCTCTGCTTGGGAGCTGGGGCGAGCGCTCCCTCTTTAGAATTAAAAACAAAAAACTGTTTTACAAGAGGCGGGCCTGCCTTGCTTAGAGACAGCCTGTGCCAGGGCCTCCTGTGGGAAATGCCACAAGCAGGCTGCCCGCCGGAGGGTGGGCCGGAGGTGGGTCGGCCCGGCGCCCCGCACTACGACCCGGGCTGCGGCCGGTGGGGGCAAGGAGTCCGCGCCCGCGTGGCGGGACCCGAGGGGGGCTTGCTGCCCTGTTCCAGAGCCCACGCGTGTCTCTGTGCGGAGGCACCGGGGGCGGCAGGGCCGCGTCTGCCTGGGGCCCCGGGCGCCGGGACTCACCCTTGTTCTCCCGCTTGAGGTACTCGATCTCCTCGTGGAGCCTGACCAGCGTGTCGGAGTGCTGCTGCTGCAGAAACTGCAGGCTCTTCTCCAGGTCCAGGACCCGCTTCTGCGCCTCGCTGAGCCCAGCCTGAGCGCCGTGCTGGCTGGGGGGCTGCAGGGCCGCGGGCGGGCGCGGGCGCGGGCGCGGGCGCGACGCGCCCCGGGAGCCCGAGGTCCCCGAGCTGGGGGGCCGCTGCCCCGCGGTCGCCCCGACGCTCATGTAGCCGCCGCCGCCGCACGCCCACTCTGTGGCTGGGCTGCCCGGGCCTGGCGCCGCGTCGCCGTGGAAACGAGCGCGAGCGCCGGGGCGGGGCGTCCGCGGGGGCGGGCGTCCGCGGGGGCGGGGCGTCCGCGGGGGCGGGGCCTGCACCAAGTACCCGGACCTAAAAGGCCTCCTGTGACTTGAGGTCCGACGGCCGTCCTCTTTTACAGAAGGTCGTACTGTCCGCTTTTGTACGCTTGTTTGGGTCACTTCCTGAACAGATGCCACGGATCACAGGTGCAACAGTCAAAGAGGCAGAGTTTCCACTTCCAGTAACGCTAGAACCCTCTGCTTATGAAACGCGGACGGAACAGACGAACGCACCGGAGAGCAAGCAGCCGGAAAGTGGCGGAAGGCAGCTCCCCGAAGAAGGGCCGCTCTCCCCTGAGCGCGCCCTGGCTGAGGGGACGGAGGACGAGGGCCGCCGCAGCTGGAGACGGGGGTGGGGGGTGGGGCGACCCTGGGAGGCTGGGAGCCTCGGCGGCCGAGGAGCTGAAGCTGTAAACTGGAGGTCTGCGGCTGGCCTCAGCTGCCCCGCGGAGTCCGGGGAAACGCAAAGAGCTGGAAGGCCAAAGCCAAGAAGAGAGTCACTTGCTACCAGCCCCAGCGGAGACCCAGCTTGGAGTCTGACAGAGGAGCCTGGTTTTCTTTGTAAATGCCTCAGTTTTCCTTCTAAACCCCAAACGGGCCACACCTTGGGAATGGAGACTATGTTCTAGAAGGGACACTTGCTCTAGAACTCAGGGCAACATCAAAATATATCCGCCCTCACAAAACTCAAAGTCCAGCCTCCACAAGTATTTGGTGATGTTCCAATAATTCAGCCACCTAGAGAACAAAACTCAACACTTAAGAGAATTATTTTTTAAAGATTTTATGTATTTATTCAAGAGAGACAGAGAGAGAGAGAGAGGCAGAGACACAGGCAGAGGGAGAAGCGGGCTCCGTGCAGGGAGCCCAGTGCAGGACTCGATCCCGGATCCGGGATAAACCCTGAGCCAAAGGCAGATGCTCAACCACTGAGCAACCCAGACATCTCTTTTTTCTTTTCTAAAGATTTTATTTATTCATGAGAGACGGGGGGGGGGGGGGGCAGAGACACAGGCAGAGGGAGAAGCAGGCTCCGTGCAGGGAGCCGACGTGGGACTCGGTCCCGGGACACCAGGATCAGGCCCTGGGCCGAAGGCAGGCCCTCAACTGCTGAGCCCCCAGGCGTCCCTCTTCAGAGAATTATAACAGAACCCAGAGTCTCTGTGTCACATCATCCATGATGCCTGATATACAATAATAAATAATGGGCATGCAAAGAAACAGACAAATGTGACTGAGTCAAGAGAAAAAATTCAAAAGAAAGAAAAGAAAAAATTCAGATTCTATCAACAGGAATAGATCTGCCAATAATTCTAGATAATAAAATTTATAGGAAAGTACTTTATAATAAATTTTAAAATCTACAGAAAAAAGATGACTGTAGTAATTGAAATCGTGGAGAATTTTTTATTTTTAATATTTTATATATTTATTCATGAGAACACAGAGAGGAGAGAGGCAGAGAGGCAGAGAGGCAGGCGGAGGGAGAAGCAGGCTCCATGCAGGGAGCTCGTCGTGGGACTCTATCCTGGGTCTCCAGGATCAGGCCCTGGGCTGAAGGTGGCACTAATCCGCTGAGCCACCTGGGCTGCCCAAAATCATGGAGAATTTTTTAAATGATTGACAAAGTATTGAGGGGGAAAAGGAAATCTCAGAATTACAAATGTATCTGGACTTCTGGTTTCCTGGACAGCCATTGGAAATCATCACTTCCATCCACACAGGAAAAAAAAAAAAAATAGCTGACCTGGGTGCCTGGGTGGATCAGCCGGTTAAGTATCTGCCTTCCACTCAGGTCATGATCCCCGGGCCCTGGGATTGAGCCACTCGTTGGGTTCCATGCTCAGCAGGAAGCTTGCTTCTCCCTCTCCCTCTGCAGCTCCCACTGCCTGTGCGTTCTCTCTCTCTCTATCTCTCTCTCTCCAAGAAAGAAAGAAAATAGCTGACCAAGCTGAAAAGCAACAACTCTCCCTGGATCCATCAGAGAACTGAGATCACAGGACAAACTACTGCCCCCAAATTGGGGCCACAGGCAGATGGAAACAGAATTGCAACTCACTGGAGCAGAAGACTCTGTAGGAACCACTGCTGGGGGAGGAAAATATAAACTAATTGACAAATTGCTGATGTGGCTCAGAGTGGACAAGGTTGAAAGTTTAAAAAAAAAAGTTCAAGGTTGGGGGGGGGGTCCAATCTTAAGAGGCCCTCACACCTTTGTGACTTTAACCTTCAGGCGTCCTCCAGATTCTCACGGGGAAGAATGGGGGGGAAATCCCCTTGTGATCCCAGCAGGAGAAGGGTGAAGGAGCCAATCTGAAATATTGTTCAGAGTATTCTGTTCCTCTTTACATGACTTGCCTTCAAAAGAAAAAAAGGAAAAAAAGAAAAAAGGGTGGCCCCAAATGCCAAACCGGACCTGGAGGAAAAGAAACACATCTCTAGCACCCTTTAGCCATCCCCTCTCTCCACACCTTCCACATCAGTGGGGCTCCTGTGTAAAAATGAGATACAAGTGAAAGAAATGCCCATCTCAGACCCAATTTAAGAAGTTTCTAGGAAAAGCCAAGGATAACAAGGAAGACAAAATGAGGGCACCAGAGGAATATTTTGCCTCTGACACCTATGGCTAGAGCAAACAGCAAACATGAACTAAACCCTAGCAAGATAAATATAGAATTTCACACTAAAGGTCTGTTTACCTCAGTTTTTTCCACACAAACAGAGTTGCATCATGTCCAACTTTCAACAAAAAAAATTACAGGGCATAGTAAAAGAGGAAGTTTGAAGAGACAGCAAGCGTCAGAACTAGACTTGGATCTGGTAGAGATGTTGGAATTACCATAGTGGGAATTTTTTAAAGATTTTATTTATTTATTTGAGAGAGAGAGTGAGAACCAGAAAAATCACAGAGAGAGATGGAGAAGCAGATTCACCGCTGAGTAGAAAGCCTGATGCGGGGGCTCGATCCCCAGACTCTGGGATCATGACCTGAGCAGAAGGCTTAACTGACTGAGCCACCCAAGTGCCTCCAGATTGGAAATTTTAAAAAACTATAATGAATATGTTAATGACTCTAATGGGAAAAGTAGACAATATGAAAGAACAGGTGGGTAATGTAAGCAGAGAGATGGAAACTCTAAGAATAAAAACGAAATGTGAGAAATCAAAAACACTGTAACAGAAGTGAAGGGGGTGCCTGGATGGCTCAGTCTGCCTTCAGCTCAGGCCATGATCCCCTGTTGGGGGCCCTGCTCAGTGAGGAGTCTGCTTCTCCCTCTGCCCCTGCCCCTGCTCGTGTTTTCTCTCCTCCTCCCTCCTCCTCCCCCAAATAGATGAATGAAAATCTTAAAAAGTAATAATAATAAATGAAGAATGCCTTTGATGGGCTCATCAGTAGACTGGAAATGGCCAAGAAAAGAATCAATCGGCTTAAAGATATGTCAAGAGAAACTGCCAAAACTGAAATGTAAAGAGAAGCGTGAATGAAAAAGAACAGAATATCCACAAATTCTGTGATTATTACAAAAGGTGTAGCATATGCATACTGGGAATAGCAGAAGTTGAAGAGAGAAAAGTACAAAAGAAATATTTAAAGCCATAATGACTGATAATTTAAAAAAATAATGAAAGACAACAGATTACAGATCCAGAAAGCTCAGTGGACAGAATAAACACAAAAAATCTAGTCTCAGGGATATCATACTCCAACTGAAGAAAATTAAGAGAGAGAAAATCTTGAAAGAACCCAAGGAGAAGAAAACAAACCCTCATCTGTAAAGAAGCAAAGATAGAATTACATTGGACCTCTCCTCAGAAACCATGCAAGTGGTAAGAGAGCGGAAGATGATATTCCATGTTGAAAGAAAAAAACCACAAACCTGGAGTACTGGATCAAGCTACATTTTCCTTTCAAAGTGAAGGAGAAATAATAAAGACTTTTTCAGACAAACAAAGATTGAGAAGCTTTGTTGCCAGTAGCTCTGCTTTGTAAGAAATGTTAAAAGAAATTCTTCAGAAAGGAGAGAAATGACGTAGGTGAGAAATGTCTCTACATAAAGAAAAGAGCTCTTTAGAGAAGGAATACATGAAGGTAAAAAAAAAATTCTTTTTCATATTCTTAAGACTTTATTTTTGTATTTTTTAAGTGCTTCCACACACAACGTGGGGCTCAAACTCATGACCCCCAAGATCAAGAGTCACATGCGCCACCAACTGAGCCAGCCAGGCGCCCCTTCTTTTTCATACTCTTAATTTTTTTTTAATTTTTTTTTTTAATTTTTATTTATGATAGTCACAGAGAGAGAGAGGCAGAGACACAGGCAGAGGGAGAAGCAGGCTCCATGCACCGGGAGCCCGACGTGGGATCCGATCCCGGGTCTCCAGGATCGCGCCCTGGGCCAAAGGCAGGCGCCAAACCGCTGCGCCACCCAGGGATCCCTCTTTTTCATACTCTTAATTAATCTAACAGATAACCGTTTGTTTCATCATAGCAACGATGCATTTGGTAATTATAGCTTATCAATAAGTGAAATGAAGGACAGCAATATTATCAGTGATGGGAGGGAGAAATTGGAAATATTCTCAAGTCTTGAACTACCATGAAGTGGTATGGTGTTATTCTTTTTTTTTAAAGATTTAATTTTTTAATGTATTCATGAGAGACACACAGAGAGGCAGACACACAGGCAGAGAGAGAAGCAGGCTCCATGCAGGGAGCCTGATGTGGGACTCAATCCCGGGACTCCAGGACCACGCCCTGAGCCGAAGGCAGATGCTCAACCGCTGAGCCACCCAGGTGTCCTGGTATGGTGTTATTCTAAAGAGAATTTGGGGGGCACTTGGGTGGCTCAGCAGTTGAGCATCTGTCTGCCTTTGGCTCAGCTCGTGATCCTGGGGTCCTAGGATCGAGTCCCACATCGGGATCCCCACAGGCAGCCTGCTTCTCCCTCTGCCTGTGTCTCTGCCTCTCTCTCTGGGTCTCTCCGAGCTGAAGGCAGATGCTCAACCGCTGAGCTACCCAGGCATCCCATAAATAAAATCTATAAAAAAAAAAAGGAGTCAATTCTCCAAGAAGAGTTATTATAACAGTACTCCAGCAAGTCTTACGGTTAGCACACTGGGTGCTTGCTGACTTAAAGCCTTTGGTCCCTAACAGAACTAATTTATTTTCTTTGAGATTTGTGGACCACTGGCCTTGGGGAATAAGGGACCAGAACAGGGGACATTCCCAGGCCACAGAGGTCAGCAAGTCTGTTTGAAGCCCCCTTACCTTTCTCATTAGCACAGCAGTCTTTTAGAGAAATGTTTTTTTTCCTTTTATTTTTTTTTACGATTTTATTTATTCATGAGAAACAGAGAGAGAGAGAGAGAGGCAGAGACACAGGCAGAGGGAGAAGCAGACTCCATGCACCGGGAGCCCGACGTGGGATCCGATTCCGGGTCTCCAGGATCATGCCCTGGGCCGAAGGTGT